AAGAACATGTTCTTGCATGAGGCCCATTGAATCCAGATTTTTGCTTAGCTTTTGGCTTTTAAAGACTATGGTCTTAAACTTTTGATCAGCTGAAAAAAAATCATGTTTGAGTGTAAATGCAGTTTTCAGAAAATTCCCTGCTCAAAAGTTCTTGTCTCTTGCACGGATTTCTTCTTTTAACATTGTGAAGCTCTACTTAGAACCTTCTTAAGATCCAATAGTGCAAAATGCAAATTGTTGCACTTTTTTGACTGGTCTTAAGATTTTGATCAGGAGTGTATATATTTTTATATTGTTACATTTTAATGTTGCAAGTCAGTGTTTAAACTTAATGTCCTGGTTCTTTTGTAACTTGGGGTTTGAAAATTTAAATGTTTACCACGCTTCACTAAATGGTGTAAAGCTACTACACTACTCAAATTGTAGGCATTATTTAAATGTTATTGAATGTCTTACGTTGTTGTTTTGGCTATTTAGCAATATGATAAAAAAGTGAAACAATTTTAAATGTAGTAAGATGTGAAATAGTCCAATAAAGTACCTGTGTTGTTTACGTACATGAGAACGCTCAGCTGTCTTCTTCCGGTCCAGCAGGGGGCGCTCCTGTACCTGCAGCTACTGAAATCAATGGAAAACAAAGTTCCACCATTAATTTTACTTCTCAGCTGCACCTGTTGACACAGGTAAGTTTGACTACACAAAAATTCAGGGTTTTAACATGTAGAGCAGCGCTATAGTTTTATTGAAGCTTGTGGTTTTTTTGTTTTGCTACTCTCCATTTAGCCAGTTAGCTTGTTTTAGCTAACGTTTTAGGAAGCTGTCATTCCTCATGTGGTGATTAAAATAATTATAAATAGATTTTGTTATAGAAGACAGGGTTCGACTTGAAGTAAAATAATTACATCTAACCAAACCAATGAATTAAAGTGTTTTTGTTGTTAATCCTCCAGGACTGTGAAGGTGCACGGGAGGATCCTGGGTCAGAACCAGAACCAGGCGGTCTGAGCTCAGAACAAAGCAGCAGGTGTCTCTAGACCAGTGGTTCGCAAACTTTTCAGCGTTTGACCCACAAAATTTCAGCAGCAGAGACTTGTGTCTCCAGCTGTTGTCGGTTGTTTTCACGTCAAATAAACTAGAGCATATTTATTAGGCTATTTTGTCCATTTTAAGTACATTAATCTTATTTTGTAACAAAGGTAAAAAATGTTGTTGGTTGTCATTTTTTAGTGTAATTCAGAAAATATTTTCAGGACCCCACCTTAATGTTCCAGGACCTCATTGTGGGTCCCGACCCCGACTTTGGGAACCACTGTGGAAGTTCTTCAGAACCGGCTCAGGATTGTGTTTCTGGTATATTTTATTATTGACGTGTTGAACCTGGGTCACCTAAAGGGTTTGAAGTTCACATTTAGGTTTTCCAGAAAGTCTTCATAGGTTTTAATAAATCCAGGCTGACGGTCAAGGTCTAAGAACTGAATTTTAAAAAGATATTTTGAAGTGTYTTTTTAAACGACTATAGTTTGGAAAATCATTTTGTGAACTGGGTCAAAACTGGAACTTCAAATCTGATCGGGACGACTTAACAACTACAACCTGACAGTGTTTTGTTATAAAATGTGTTGGTTGTGTTCTCTGTGAAATTTAGTTTCTGAGCTTCTGTTAAAATGTAACATTTGGGAATTGTTTATATTTAGTAAAATATAATTTACTGTTTAAAAAAATTGATAGATTTAAAAAAATTCCTTATTGATCAAATTCTCTTTTAATCTTCAACTTGCTAAATTCATAAATCAAACTTTTTCAAAACTAATAAAGCTTTTTAATATTGGTAACAAACCCAAATGTAAAATAAATTGAATTAATGTGATTTCATCTAAGTTGTTCAAACATTAAAATTTATTTTATTTTAAATTCAGCTAAAAACAAGTGAAATTTGTTTTAAAATTAAAATACATACAATTGAACAAATTAGGCCTAAATCTTATTTAAATTCTGCCTCAGCTTTGAGGGGAATAATGTCAAAATGAATCAGAGGAATCTTCAGAAAAAGTTTTTCGTTGTTATGTAAAATTTTTTAGCATATTTCAAATGTTTTCAAAGCTTCAGCTGAAAGAATCAGAAAACATGGAGTTGAACCGGTTTGAAATCAGCCAAAAAACGAAATATTCTGTATCTGCGCCAAATGTTTTGTAGCAGTTGTTGCTCAGATCTGTTCCAGTTACGAGTTGTTGGGAAAGGGGGAAAAATTAAAAAATCCAGGTCTTTTTACCGGGTCTGGGTCAGAGACCACACAGATACCTTTTGCTGCCAGGGAACACTCCATAAATATGATTTTGCTAATTGTTTCCATTTGCTCATAAATTTTTACATTCCTGTTGAACAGAAGCAACATTAGTTTTAAATAAAATATTTTGTGTGTAACTTAGAAATGTCAAAAAAGGAGAAAAAAATGTAAATGCAAGACTACTGTCTCAAACTTTACAAGGATGGAGTTCACAAAGAAAGTTCAGGCACAAGAATGAAACTGTCTRGACCTGGAACATGATCTGAGCAGACCTGATGCTACAACAAGTCAGGTTAAATCTCAAACCAAAGACTCACAGTGCTGAAATAAAACTGATATCCCTGTGGAATTTGAAACAATATCAGGGTAAGTTTATTGCAATAAAAAAAAACATTTCTCAAATATACAGATAATTCTCGATGAGCAACTGATTTGCAATACAGTTAATAAATAGAAACAAAAATCTGAATACAAACGACATTTCAAGTTTTGTTCTGTAAATATTTACACGCAGAAGTTTACAGCCTGAGGAATGATTCCTGGAGGGAATGTAGGTTCAAGTTATAGAATGACGAGCTGGAGTTTTGAAATGTGCAGTCTTTTCAAGTCACCAACGGTTTTAAAGTGAAYGAATCGCTTTTCGGCGAAGGTGGAACTAAAAAAACGCGCAGCAGAGTCAGGGTGGGAGGTGTGCAGAGGTCCGTCAGTCCTCCGACAGCAGCCGGAGGAAGTGGTCCTTCCTCTTCTTCAGCACCTCCTGAAAATCCTCCTGAAAAAAATAAAATAAAAAGCACTTAAACCTGCAGTGACGTCATGCCACCACAAGGGGGAGACAAAGAAAACAAACTTAAAGTTGATCAAAAGTTATTAGTTCCATTCTTATTTCTACAAAGCAGTTTAGAGTGTATTCGTTGTTTTTTCCCCTGAAACAGCTGCTTGCTTTAAGATAAAAATGTGATCAGTGAATGAAAACTCTCCCAACACAAAGTTAAACAGTGAAGTGAAGTAAACAACACAGCAGACTCACAGCTGTAGCCAGTTTCTCCATGTAGGGGATGAGTTTCTGCAGCTCCCTGTCCTCCGGTGCTCCGGTCCAGCTCTTTATGGGGACTGTGTTCATCAGCTGCAAAACAACAAGACGCCGCCCTTTTAACGACCTGATTTATTTAACGTCATCGACACTGAAAACATCAACTATTACATGTTTTTATTGTTTGATGGAAAAAAATAAAACGAAGACTTGTAACATTTGTGCTTACCAAGGTTATAATAGTTTTGGATTTTTCATTATAGTTTAGTTTTATTTAGTTGTGACTTTTTTCTTTTAATTCAGTTTTAATTCGTTTTTAGCATGAATTTGCTAGTTTTTATTAGTTATTGCTTTTTTAATGCTTAGTTTTAGTTTTTATATGGTCTAGTATTAGGGTTTTTTTGTAGTTTGAATAAACATATTTGCCAATCCTCCAGCTTGAAGTGTTCCTATGAGTTAACTAACCAGCAGCTTTTTCTGTTATAGCAACACCTTCCTAAAATAAATAACTCAATTTTGCCAGCAAAGGACTTAATTGTTTTAAGAAGGTGACAATAGTTGTCTAGATCCTGGTGTTACCTGGCTGGGCTAGTTTAATCAGTCCACATAGCTCAAAAAAAAAAAAAAAAAAAAAAAAAGATATTAAAACTAAGCATATTCTATCTATTATTTCAGATAGTTTTAGTTAGTTTTGTAAAAAGAGTATACAGTTTTAGATGTTTTTTTTTTCATTTTATTTCAGTTTTTATTTATTTCAGTTAACTAAAATGTTTTCAATTTCAGTTTTCGTTATTTAATTAGTTTTAGTTAACTATAATAACCCTGGTGCTTACGTGGTACGGATAAGTATGAGAGGCGTTGTCCAGGACCACGGTTTTGGCGAGGTCCCTCCCGAGGATGCCAAGGTCTTTGACGTAGTGTCCGAGGACACAAGCGCAGTCGTCCTGGTACAGACGGTGTCTACAGAGGAGATCAGAAACATTAAACATTGTTAAACAATCAAAGCCAAGAGGGAAAAGCTTTCACGTGACCACCGTCCACACCGCTGACTTCCTGCTGAGTGTTTCTCTCTGAAACGTACCGAAACAGTTTTCTCTGAGGGTCCAGGATCTCCAGGATTTTCTCTGCGTATTCTTTTTTCGCACACGTGTAAACAAACAGCTGGAAAACAGAGATGCTATTAGAAATCTGGGGCTTGTGTGTGAATGACCTGAAAATCTACACAAAAACAAACAAATGTAACGAAATTCCCCAAACCTCGTAGGTTTTTGCCATGGCTTGCAGAAACTCCTTCAAATGTGGTCGTACAATCATGTACACCTGTTTCATTCAGGGTTAAAAATGAAAAAAAAAAAGTTTATTTTGTGTAATAATTTGATAAAACACATTGATACAACTGCTTTTGTTCAGCTTGAACTACAACACAGTGATTCGTGTCTTTGTCGATGTAGTTTTTTAATGAAACACTACTTAAATTCATAACATATGCAGCTATAGAGGGCTTTGGAAATGTGTCTTTATGGAACGCCGTCACTTTAAACTGATCATCAAAAGAATTCAATGTCATGATGGATTCAAACCAAACATATTTGTTAAAAAGCAGCAGAGACCTTGTACTGGTTGTCTTGGAAAGTTGTGTTGAAAGTGTAGTCTGCGTCTTTGATCACATTCAGGGAGCTGAACATCAGCGTCTCCTCCTGACAAACACACACATAAAAAAAAACAGTCAGTTTCTCTCATTACAGCTAAAATCTGGATCTATTCCCAAAATAAAACCCCTCCACCTCAGCGTTAACGCTGACAGGGTGATAAAACAAGAGCGAGCAGCAGAAACCCTTCCAGACATTTGGAAATTGTTTGTTTGGAAGCAGATGTGGGACAGACTAACGTCAGAGATGTTTCTTTTTAAGATGAGAATACAAACGAGGAGAAAGGAGCTCCACAGAAATGAACTGCAGTTGTGCTGCTCCTCAGTTACTCACTAGTAGTTTTATTTCATAAAGTCCCACAGCTTTGACCCACAGGAAAACAAGTGCTCCATCCAAACATAACAAATATTCATACCGTATTTATCAAAAACATCTGTAACACCAGCAGAGACAACATTCTCAATAAAACAAGACAATAGATCAGTGAAAGGGAAACAAGAAGCAGCCACTGATGCCTCTAACCCATCAGCTTCCTCCTCAGCTGGCTGCCAGAACAGAAAGGAGGAGTCTGATAATAAAGGGCTACAGTGTGATTATAAACTCAGATGCATTAATAATCTTATTACTTTACATAACTCTCACTTATTAACGAGACCCAGGACACGCTGGAGGGACTATGTTTCTCAGCTGGTCTGGGAACGCCTTGGGATTCCCCAGGATGAGCTCGGGAGAGGGAAGTCTGGGTCACTCTGCTTAGACTACTGCCCCCGCGACCCGACCCCGGATAAGTGGAAGAAAAGGGACGGATGTACAAACTCTCACTTATATTTCATAAAGACGCACTAATTCATATATTTTTATTCCTAACAAAACAGAACACAATAACATGTCCAAAAAAAAAAACCAATCACAGGCTGCTGATTAACTGTTAGCACTGATACTAACTCAACACTGAAAATGCCATAGAAAAGCTAACACTATTAGCATTGTGTTCATCACTGGACATTTATGCACGAATCAAAGGTTTCAAAGCCATTACTAAAGATGGTCATCGTGTTATGATAAGTGCAGCTATTTAGATGAAAACACGTGGCTTTACTGCAACACGTTTCAACCACAGGAAGCTACAGCGACTCCACGAGAACAAGTGCTACTGCGCAGCAAAAACAACTTGTCAAATACAAACCCCTTGCTTTTTAAACAGCTTTATTTCCAGAGAGAAACACACATCGGCCCACCAGAGAAAAAAAAATCTCATTATAATCCACTGCTGTGCGCAACAAATCAAACCCATTTGGTGAAAAAAGCAACAAATAAAATACAAATATTATAATGTCACAGCTCATGCTTGATGTTGAAAGCATGAGCAGAAAACTGTTGATGATTAATCTTACCAGGTTGACCACCAGCGTGGCCTCCGGGGTGCTCCTGGTCTTTGGGGGAATATCTCTGAGTCGAGGACGGGAATGCCGAGACTGTGAGAGGATGTTCTTGATTAGGGTGAACCTGAAAACAAACACATTTATGTTAACCAGCAGAAATTGTCTTTTATAAACCTAAACAAAGCATTTATGTCAAAATAAAAAAGCTATAATCAAAATTATCTAGGACTACAGTGGGGAAAATAAGTATTTAGTCAGTCACCAATTGTGCAAGTTCTCCCACTTAAAAAGATGAGAGAGGCCTGTAATTGACATCATAGGTAGACCTCAACTATGAGAGACAAAATGTGAAAAACTATTTGAGAAAATCATTTTGTCTGACTTTTAAAGAATTTTTTTGCAAATAATGGTGGAAAATAAGTATTTGGTCACCTACAAACAAGCAAGATTTCTGGCTGTCACAGACCTGTAACTTCTTTTTTAAGAGGCTCCTCTTTCCCCCACTCATTACCTGTATTAATGGCACCTGTTTGAAGTCGTTAACAGTATAAAAGACACCTGCACACAACCTCAAACAGTCACACTCCAAACTCCACTATGGTGAAGACGAAAGAGCTGTCGGAGGACACCAGAAACCGAATTGTAGACCTGCACCAGGCTGGGAAGACTGAATCTGCAATAGGCAAGCAGCTTGGTGTGAAGAAATCTACTGTGGGAGCGATAATCAGAAAATGGAAGACATACAGGACCACTACTAATCTCCCTCGATCTGGGGCTCCACGCAAGATCTCAGCCCGTGGGGTCAAAATGATTACAAGAACGGTGAGGAAAAATCCCAGAACCACAAGGGGGGATCTAGTGAATGACCTGCAGAAAGCTGGGACCAATGTTCCAAAGGCTACCAACAGCAACACACTACGACGCCAGGGACTCAGATCTTGCAGTGCCAGACGTGTCCCCCTGCTTAAGCCAGTCCATATCCAGGCACGTCTGAAGTTTGCTAGAGAGCATTTGGATGTTCCAGAAGAGTATTGGGAGAATGTCATATGGTCAGATGAAACCAAAGTAGAACTATTTGGTAAAAACACAACTCGTCGTGTTTGGAGGAAAGTGAATGCGGAGTTGCATCCAAAGAACACCATACCAACTGTGAAGCATGGGGGTGGCAACATCATGCTTTGGGGCTGTTTCTCTGCAAAGGGACCAGGACGACTGGTCCGTGTACATGAAAGAATGAATGGGGCCATGAATTGTGAGATTTTGGRTGCAAACCTCCTTCCATCAGCAAGGGCAATGAAGATGAAACGTGGCTGGGTCTTTCAGCATGACAATGATCCCAAGCACACTGCCAGGGCAACAAAGGAGTGGCTTCGTAAGAAACATTTCAAAGTCCTGGAGTGGCCTAGCCAGTCTCCCGATCTTAACCCCATCGAAAACCTTTGGAGGGAGTTGAAAGTCCGTGTTGCCCGCCGACAGCCCCAAAACATCACTGCTCTAGAGGAGATCTGCATGGAGGAATGGGCCAACATACCAGCAACAGTGTGTGCCAACCTTGTGAAGACTTACAGAAAACGTTTGACCTCTGTCATTGCCAACAAAGGATATACAACAAAGTATTGAGATGAACTTTTGTTATTGACCAAATACTTATTTTCCACCATTATTTGCAAAAAATTCTTTAAAAGTCAGACAAAATGATTTTCTCAAAATTTTTTTCACATTTTGTCTCTCATAGTTGAGGTCTACCTATGATGTCAATTACAGGCCTCTCTCATCTTTTTAAGTGGGAGAACTTGCACAATTGGTGACTGACTAAATACTTATTTTCCCCACTGTACGTCTTTTTTATGACATATTGGATTCATTTTTTTGTTTGTTTGACGAGCCTTGAAACATTTCATTTTGACTATTGCTTATTCATTTCTTTTACATAAAAACATTCCTCATCTGATTTAGGCTCTGTAAACAAAAACATCAAGGCAAGTAAATTTCCTAACCAGCTGAGGTTTGAACAAAGCTAAATAAATAAAATAGTTATATTTACGGGTCAAAGACTTCATCCTCCTCCTCTCCTGCCAGCAGCTCCACGGAACCATAACCAAACACACCTTGTTCTGGGCTCATTATGATTTTATTCTCAGTTTCAGGAGACATTAAATCTGGTCAGGAAGACACACAGAAATAGAAAAATCAACAAATCATAAAAAACGCAAATGAAACACCAGAAGTCGGCCCAACAACGTGCCTGATAAGTTTAGCTCACTGAGTGTTGAATTAATTCACGACAGCTAATGCACAGACCTTGCAAACCAAATTATTTCATGACAGCATTCTATTTTTAGGCTAAGAGTTCATATTAAAATAACAGTTGCTGTACTTACTTTCCTTGCTGGGCGTGAGGAAACGCACTAAAGGCGAGTAGATTTTTCTGGCGGTTGAATTGCGAGGAGACTCGATGTCGATCTCTGCCAGTATGCGCTCACGGCGCATTACGGGCCTGTGGGGAGTTTTAAAGGCTGGATGTAGGAGACAAGAAAAACAAACAAATAAATAAATAAAAATTAGTGTGGTGCTGGGGCGTTTAGATGGAGGAAAAAGCTTAAAACACAAATTAAAAGGTGAGAGCTAAAGTACCTGATTCTCGGTCTTCAACAGCGATGGCCCGTTTTCTTGCCCAGCCACGAGGCAGCCGGCGCCTCTTCATCGTAGGAACCTCATCATCTGTGGATATATCCAAGGTCTCTTCAAACTGCACAGCAAAACATAAAAACATTCAAACAAGAATTATTACAAGTCTAACATGGAGATGTGGAGGGTCTGACAAAAATCTATTATCTTTATATAAATAAAACTTGATCAAAGTGAATGTGAGCTATGACAATATTCAGGTTAAATTTATCTTCATTAGTTTTATTTATCCACAGCGCCCCCTACTGGCGCTTTAAAAATGACAGTTTAATCAAACATGCTCAACAAAAGATGAACTTTTTATCCTTCATAGATCAAATATTTACTGTCAGACTAATGCATGGGTCCCAGAACCTTTGCCTAAATTCCTGACAAATAAAATCTCTCAGATCATTTGACTTTTTTTCTATTTCAAGCATTAACACGTCCTTCTGCTTTTAAGCTAAGCTAGTTAGCAAACAAGGAAAGCTAAGCTCATGCTAGCATCGAGCAATTTAAGCGAGTTTTACACAAATTGTATTTTTACAGCTAAAATACGTCTGCTAACATTAGTATATTAAGTATAACTCTCTTTTTGAGACATTATTGTAATCTGATAAGGAGTTACCTCGGTTTGTTGCGTGCTCTCGGGAGTCGACGTCGATGCTGGCCTCGGCGTCCTTTTGATGGACCGCCGACGGGTGTTTTTCGGCGTATCCGAGCAAGCCTTGACTATTTTTTGAGACCTGAGTCTCATTTTTCTTCCTCACGTGGAACTAGTAAGCATTTAAACGTAAAATCCACCACCGTCCCGTACTTTCTCGGGTAAACGTTTTGGTTTTTTTTTTCTTTCTCCTTTCCAATCCCCGCCCCTCCGCCAGCTCAAGTTAGATTGAGAAACTCCGCCCCGCTCGCCAACGGGTTTCAAACCTGCACTGGGGTGCGTTGGGTTCGTAGCCGCGGACAGCTGTGGAGGGCGGTGCTTGTTGGTCTGTTTACATGTGATCACGGGGGACAAGAAACATCTGGGTCAACAGAGAAGCACCCTGAGACACTCCTGGTTTAAATTACACTTTTTATAGTGAAACATGACATTTTAGTTTTCATTATAATAAAGAAAAAATATTTATAAAAACTATAGAAGAAATGTTCTGTTTGAAATAATTTTAAATTTCAGAGAAAATACAGCAAATCAACTTTACTGAAATTTGGAAGCTATAACCAAATGGTTAAAATGACCAGAACAAAACCGAAATTAGCCAAACAGTAACTGAGACACAGTCAGCAACATAGTACCTAAAAGACAAAACTGGCCAAACATTAGCTAAAAACTAGATGCTAAGTCAAAAAAAAAAGTTTTTTTTTGTTAGAATCATTCAGACTGAACTGGAAACATGAGTGTAGATCTTTATAAAGATCCTGAACAATCTCAAAATGGTTTTCATTCACTTTTGTTAAACATTTTTAGCCTATCTGTAAAACCTAATCTCCTGTGATGGACCGCAGACTGTCCAGGGTGTATCCCACCTTTCATCTAATGATGGATGTACATAATATCCTGAAATCCCTAAAAATTAAACAAGTATATACCATTATGTTACAGGTAGAACTGTACATCCACTGTTTTAACAGTTTAACTGAAAGAAAAAACTCTGAACTTTTGACCTCTGTAGTCATGGGGGGGATCAGGTGGCTCAGTAATGCTCTATCGGGCATTTAATTGGTTTGGGAAGAATCCCTGCTGATCAATACGGAGTTGTTCTACTTGGTCACTTCATCCTGCACCAGAACATTTCCATTCTGATGGAAGTGGTCTCTGTCAGGATGGAAACGCTCCCCCACTCAGCCTTTGTATTGACATCATGTCAAACAACTGTTGAAAAGAACCAGCTGCCTCCATCACTAACATAAACTAATAAGTAAATGTCTTTTGAAACATTTAATTCTGCAGCAGGCCTTCTGAAACTGTAGCTTTTTAAAGCAAAATAAGGACATTTAACATTTGTTTTGTCTCCAAGCTTGTTTGTCGTTGTGTCTATGGTGTATAATGATGTGATTGTGATGCTGTATTTCTGAGAGTTTTATGTGCTGCAGAACAGGAACCTGCTGTAAAACAGCAATTATGCTGAGTCAGGCTTGATTTTTAGTAATCTTTTCCTGTTAAATCAATAAATCAAATCAAATCAAATCACTCGTCTGTCTATGGACTGATTTTCTTACAAACTTGCAGAAGGTAATCATTTTAGCTAACAGACCTTAAAACACACACCTAAACAGCTATAACTCAGCCAGTTTTACAAATAATGACTTCATACTTTGTTTGGTAACACGTGAAAATGATACCCAGCTCATAATCTGAGCTCTAACAGATTACACAAGATCTCAGTTTGCCATTACTTATTTACAACTTTATCTCTCTGTTAGCAAAAAACTTCATCGACCCATTGAATGGAAACTTTAAGAATCATTCAATGTGACTTTACAGCTGTTTTAACGTTTGGAGTGAACCTGATTCAAGATGATCGTAACAACCAACCAACCTTTGCAAAACACAAAAATAGCTGTAATTTTGTCAGTTTGACAGATAATATGCTAAAGTTTGGGTTGATTGTTGCTGAAAGTCATTCACAACCATTGGTGGACAAATTACTCAGCTTCAAGTCAAAGATCTGATCCCACTGGTCAAACACTAATCTAATAAAAATAAAAGTAGCTTGGTCAAAATCTTATTAAAATTAAAATATGAATGTAGTTGTAATAATACTTAATTACACAAAGTACTTAAAATGTTGAATTTATAATGCATTTCAATTGACGTACACTTAAAATAATTGATCGTTGGATTTACTTAAAGCAACTTTCACATTTTCTATAAAACTGAATGTGAGTGAAAGTTTGAGTGGAAGTTGTTGACATAAGTCGGTTAAGTAAATCCAACAATCTGATTTTTGAGTGTAGTTGAGAAAAAAAATGGGGAAATTTTTCCTGCTATATTGGACAGATTGGTAACTTCAAACATATAATAGTTTGATATAGCACTTTTCTAGATGCTCAAAGATGGGGTTCCTCTTATGTCACCATTTGAATGCCGTAAATATAAACAATTATTCTTACACTGCTGGAGCGAGGCACAAATTCAGTAGACTTGTTGATTCTCTTCCTGTTTAAAGTAAATGACTAATCACAGCATGAAGGCTGCATCTAAAATTCAGTTAATCAGTCACAAAATAACCTTCAGGACTAAAAGTCTAAAACACTCTAACTTGAGTCTTAAATGAGATGAGACCTTGTTCAGATAAGGCTATTAACAAAGACCTGCAATAGTGCTGAAGCATGTTTAGTGTACCTGAAAGGCAGCACTAGGACAAAAACTATTACTATTATTCTGCTCGTAACTGGTTTAAAGCTGTATATCACCAACTACTGTATCAGTGTGTTGTGTATAATTTTAGTGAGTTGGTAGAACAAAATAGACACAAACTGCACAAACATGGCCAAAAAAGTAACCAGTAGCTAAAGCCTCTAGAGAAATGTAGTGCAGTAAAATGTATGATTTTTACCTTTAAAATGTAGTGGAGTAAAATAAAAGCAAGACCTTGGGCATGTTTTTGATGAGAGGATAACATTATAACATGATATAAAGCTCAAAAAAGTTGATTTTACATGACATAGCCCCTTTAAGTAAAGTACAAATTCTCAAAAAAATGTACTTGCTTACAGTACTCGAGTACATTTACTATCATAAAGAAAAATTATGTAGGTCCTCTGGATGGGTTCTTTAGTGCAATGTTTCCCAAAGTTGGGGTCAGGACCCAAAATGGGGTCCCGAAACATCAAGGTGGGGTCCTGAAAAGATTTTCTGAATTAGTTACATTTTTGCCTTAGTTGTTACAAAGGAGTGAGGTTAGTGTGTTTAAAATGGATAAATGTAGTATAAAAATATTGTTACTCTGCCCATGTTTTGTTAACCTGATACAAATGTTTATCATCCAAAAATAGTTGGGGGAACAGGTCTCTGCTACTGTAATTTTGTGGGTCAAAAGCTGAAAAAGTTGGGAACCACTGCACTTTGGTTCCCAAAGTTGGGCTTGGGACCCAATTATGGGTCATGAAGCACCTTGGATAATCTCCAGAAATCAATTTAAAGGTAATAAAATAATTACTGATGTAATATTTTCCCTATAATTATTACAAAAACACAAAATAAGTACAAATAAGTATTTATATTTGTGTATAAGCTGTTAGATTGTCAAAAAACCTGTGCTTTTAGGGTTATTAACGAAGTTCGTGTACTCAGACCAGTAATATTTGGGGTCACAAGTTTTTGCCGTGGATATTTTGTGGGTCAGAAGATAAAAAGTTTGGGAACCACTGCTTTAGTGAAACGTTTAGTCTCTCCTCCAAGAGACTTCTTCAGTCTGATGAGTTTCAGGTGAACTCAGCCTTATATGCATTGCCTCCACATGGACAAACAGGTTAGTCACATGCAAAAGAGGGCCATCGCCTAACAATAGGCTTGATTTACTATGTTACTGCCCACCTCTGTTCACAACACAATCATGAATGCATGACCCTGGAAGAAAAATAAAAGTCTTCAGAAAAGGGTAAAGGTTGGCGGACTAATTTAAAGAATTAAAAACAATAAATAATCCTCAAAGCTGTGTGACATTTAAGAATGGTGATATTTTATTAATTTTTCAGATTCAAAATAAAAGTATTCACACAAACACATACAGAGTACACAAACACATACAGAGTACACAAACACATACAGAGTAAATAGGCAAGAGTTGCTCTTCACCCTTAATAAAACAAAAAAACTTGCATTGCCCGATGCCACTTCACACTTGCCGTGGTTACCGAGAAAACATCCCATTCATCACAAAACTTTAATCATTTATAGAAAAAGGAGGGAGGGAAGAAAAGCACACGTTAAGGGGAGCAGACAGGAAGATTAAAAAAAAAAACTTGCCAAACTAACAGTGGTACAGGAAGCAGTACTTGTAGTAGTTAACTGTTGAGCTGGAGGTCCCTGAATGCTGGAGCTCAGATAAACCAAACAGTAGAAATGTTACAGGTGTGTAACAATGAACAGAGGACACAGAGGGAGGGCGTCCGAATGTTTGAAATTAAGTTACGGTGAGAAGACACTCGAGCTGAAGATAATCCCACGTTTCAGGAGACAGCATTCGTCTCTGATTGGGTTAACGGGTGAAGTTAAACTCCTGACGCTCGTCCTCCTGTCCTCCTCCCACTGAACAGTAACTCGAGCCAACACTGGGTCAAATGCATCAAACTGGAGGTAGAGGTAGATTTTCCTGAGAAGTTGTAAGACACAATAGACACGCTTTGTTTCCGTTCTGAAGATGCTCAAAGACACCTAAAATCCCTCTCTCTCTCTCTCTCTCTCTCTCTCAAACACACAAACACACACTCACACACACTTCTTTACAATAATCACATTATTATCATTGCTGTTCATAAAACTGCTCTAGAAGTAATCTCTGTGTGCCTCAGTTGCTAAAAGCAGGTCAATAAAGCAAAGAAATAGCCAAAAAAGAAAAAAAATACAACAAACAATATAAACACGATATAATCCGTAGCCCTAAAAAGCCTCATTTCAGACAAAATCGATTTAATGAATCTTAGAAATACAGGTTAATTCATACAATTGTCACAGCAGAAGGCATCGTTATTTTTTTCTTTTCTCATAATTTTTTTTCCTGCGCACACAGTCCACCTGATGGAGGTCCAATCAGTGATAAGAGTCCAGTCCAGAGGCCTGAGCCCACCTCAACCTGTAAACGTCCCAGCCCAAATCAGCAGCATGTGGGAACACAGTTTGTTTTCCATGCAAAAAATGCTTTGGACCTAATTTTTTTTCCAAAATAATAATAATAATAATAATTTTCTAAAAGCTTTTATTTTTATCTTACAGCTGTGGGATGAAAACAGCAGCAACATCTTTTAATAAAAGCAATGACGTTCTTATGAAGACCTGCTAGTCCTATGAGACCGATCGTTTGTGCCGATGTTGCTGAAACGGGCAGGAAATTTAACTTCGAGATGAGCAAAAGAAAGAAAGAAAAAGAAAGCTTTGTTCTAGTCTGTGCAACACGTCAAAAAGGAGCAGACTTCAGCAGTTCAATACGAGGCTTCTACCTGCATCGCCACACAACAAAGATGTAACTTTTGACAACAGAGAGCAGTCTCATCTGATGATGAAGACCACCAAACTAATGGTTTTAGAACAAAAAACAAAACACCAGTTTGAAAAACATTTTCTTAAGAACGGATGCTACTCAGTTAAGACTGATAAATTCCACGGCTACTTTCAAACTGAAAACAGAGGCGCCTGCTTGATCACGCTACAGCAAGACAGGACGCCTGATTATACCGACCGACACACTCCTTTTACCTGATTGCCTCGAAGAGCTACTGACTCTATAAGAGTTTGGTTCCGCGTGTTTTAGTGTTTCACTGAATGCTGACTCGGCGGCTTTTACGCCCCAGCAAACCTAAAACCCTCAAAACACCAAGAGGATGCACTCAAAGAATGCATTTATTATTATTGTTGAGGTAAAATGTAATATTTAATTTGTGCATGATAATAAAGCTTTCCACCGGGGGGCGCTCTCTCCACGCAGGTTAAGACTTCCAGCAGTCTTAAACTAACAGGGTTATATTGATTAAAAGGTGAGAGTCTCATTTAAGGTGATATCTGATTGTCTGTGGTTATTACAACCTCTTTATTGGTCTTTGTGAACAAACATCAACGACATTTCAATGTTTTTTTTTTATGTTCTGCACGAACAGCACTACAGCAGGATTCTCTGTTGTGGCTGCCAAGAAGCCATCTGCCAAAGCTTTTTTAGTTCTTGAGGTAGAAACGGGGGCTTGGTTGTGGTTGGAGGGGATGTCGAGAGCGTTTCGAGGTATACGGCGTCGCCTTAACGTCTCCTGATTGTCGCTGCCGTACAATTAAACGCAGCCTTTTTTTCGCCCTCCTGAAAATACTACACGGAGAAGCGACAGGAGAGCTGCAGTACCTCCACTGTTCAAATGCAAATATCTCACTGAAGCAGTCAATAGATATACAATAAACATGGATTGACTGAAAGGAGAGGAGGGGGGGTGCAGGTGCTTAAATGTTGCCTTGGGGGCTGAAAAGGTCAAAGGGTCAGATCTGAAAAAAGCAATTGGATTGGATTGGATTTAGTTTTAGCCTCCCCCCACCCTCAAAGATTCAGCTCCATTTGATTGTCAACCATTACCATCAACACTGACACCTGCAACTCAACCAGAGGCTCCTATAAGACTGAGACGAGCCGACACGATTCTGGAAGGACAAAAACTGCTACTAAACGGATGTTCCAGCTGAGGCCTTCACACAGCACAAAGCGCTAACCCTCTCACGCCGTTAAAGGTTGCACAAACAAATAAAAAATGTTAAAATTCAGAATCGGATCGCCCGGGAAAAAGAACTGCGGTTTGCTCAAGCAAGCAGACTGAAAAGATTAAGTCTGTTTCAGTGCTAAAGACATAAATAAAACACTAAAGATTAAATAATAAGAGCAAAAAACTGATGATAGCATGATAGCAAAGTCTCAGAGTCCTTTACCACTCAACATTTAGAGCAAAAGTCAGAATAACTTGAATTAAATATTAACTTATACACCTCGCCTTTTTGTTCAACAGAGCTGAAGAAGGTCGTTTAAAAAAACAATTTTACTTTACGTTTGTCCAGACCAGAGCGTAACAGCAGTACTTAAAGCTTTTAGTGGGACTCATTTTGGTAGCAATATAGAAGACAGGCTATTATCACCAGCCTGAACGTGGTTTAAACTTGGGAAGTACTGTTACATACCTGGCAAATACCCGGTACGAGCTCGGAAAATACCCAGTACATGCACGGTAAGTCCCCAGCATGTCCCTGGTAAGTATAGAGTATGTACAAGACAAGTACCAGGTATGTACAAGGTAAGTATTGGGCAGGTACCCAGTAAGTACGACGGCTCAGTGGTTAGCACCGACGCCTCACAGCAAGAAGGTCCTGGGTTCGATCCCAGGTTTGGACCTGGGGTCTTTCTGTGTGGAGTTTACATGTTCTCCTCGTGCTTGCGTGGGTTTTCTCCGGGTTCTCCAGTTCCCCCCACCCCCAAAAACATGTACAATATGTCGCCTTCAGGCCCAGGCCGCCCTTAAAAAAGAGATCTGACATCTCAACAGGACTTGCTTGGTTAAATAACGGTACATAAAAGTACTTTGTACTCAAAGTGAATAAGCCAATGAGTCAGGGTAGCTTCACGTAATACAATTCGATAAGTATCCAGCAAGTACCAAACTCTGACCTGGTAAGTACTAAGTGTCAACCAGTTAAGTACAGAGCATGTACAAGATCAGTACCAGGTACTTAATCAGCAAACGAGGAAACTGAATAATACAACCTGGCAAGTATTCATTAGTACTTGGCAAGCACCTGGTGAGTACTGAGTAAGTATGTACCCAGTAAGTTGAGTCACATAAAACAATAATACTTATTGTCCTGTATTTTGTGTTGCTACCTTGATTTCTTTCCCTGATTCACTTTTAAAAGTTGAAATCTTTTAAAACGTTAAGAACTTTGTTTTGTAACTGATTCAGAACCATCTACTCCAAGATAAATAACAAAGCCTTTGTGGATCAACCCTTTAAGCTTTTACGTTTTTAACCACTTTACTTAAAAATATATCCTTCTGACAGCAGCGCGCCTTTTTTATTGAGTTTGAAAAGTATGTTTTTCAAAGTGACCAGTGTTTGCCAAGCAGCTGGAGGCGATCTCCCACCGTGAAGCCAGCACAGAATCAAAGCGGGGACAGCCGTTGGGCGATATTTGACTGAACAGTAAAAAGTGATTAGACGGAGGTACTGCTCGCTCTCCGGTCACCTCACGCTGTGTTAAAGGCCTCAGAGCAGAACCCACATACAAAGCTTGATTTACTTCCTCACGTCAGCGGGGACGAGGCTGTTTGGCACAGCTGTGGGGTGGAGGAGGGCGGGGGAGTAACAATATTTAACAGTCCAGAGAGGTAACATGGGTTAAAGTTCAAAGAGCTGAAGACTGATCTCCTTAAAAAACTCAAGAGACGCAACGTCTCTTCTGTCATTAATTTGCACCAAATCTGACACAAAATACAAAGCGCTACGATCACCTCTCAGCTCGATGAAGAATAGAATAAATCACAAAAACATTCTCTGCTATATTCTCAACAGGCGACCCTGTCCATCTCCACAGCACGAGATAAGAAGCACTTGGATCAGAAGAAGCACTACGTCATGCAAAACACAAAGCCGAACGGAAAATAACAACAAAATGATTGTGACAGTGATTCAGAGATGATCTGAACGCATCTCCTGACAGCTGATTGTCCATGTGACCAATAAAAACAATAAAAAGCATTTAGTGGAGTTACAGAAAAATAATCGCTTCACTTTGAATGGAAGGACCTTCATCTACAAACAGATGTGTGAATCTGATCTTAAAGGGATAGCTCTGATCTTTTGAAGTGAGGTTCTGTAGAAAGCTTATGAACAAATATCGTACGTGTTGCAGAGAGTTCTTTGGACGGCCTCAGTTTGTTTCTAGAAACATCCTCATCCACATGGAAACAAAGTCCTAAAATGCTGTAGTAACCATGTCAGGCCWGTAGGGTGGCGCCATTACGCTGCCACAACAACACACCAGAAACAGGAAACGAGGCGCGTAGCACGCACATAAAGCTTACATGATGGAGGCGAAACATAAAACAGAAAATGACGACGACGACCCTCGGATTGTCGAACAGATTGGAGCAGAGAGCACGGTAGTGGGGTGGTGGTGGTGGGGGGGGGGGGTACGACTCTCAACAACATCTGCTCAGAAAATATACATTTATTGTTTGTATATAAAATTATCAAAACAAGTATGAATAATTAAAACTCTGTATAACTCCATTCTTTTTCCCACCCTTTTTAAAATAAAAGTTTGTAACAATTCATTATTTTTTTAATTGGTTAAATGCATCTTGGGAACCACTGGATTAGATGATGGGGTTGTGTCAATCATTTTCAAAAAGTTGCATTGTAGCCATCTACACTAATTTATACTCCCCTTCTCATGTCTTGCGTGACAAAAATTGCATAAATTCCATCTGCTATCTCCCGCCGACGCCCAGTCAGAACTGTCTTGCAGACCAGTGTGTCTTGCGGTGCGATTGGTCAAAACTTTGTGGGCGCGTTTGAGTTTGCGGAGCAGTACAGCACCTCCTTCTGCGCGTCATCTTTTTCTGGAAATAGTCAGCTGCCGGAGGCCTGTTGTCAAATTACCAAGACGGAATGTGTAACCTTTCCATCTCTGAGGCAAACAAGACAAAAAAAAGGCAACAAAAGCCTCTCTTTCAACGTCTGATCAACAGTGAGTGACCCCCCCCCCCCCCCCACTATCAATCCTAACATTACTGTTGTTGTTTATACTGTTAGCTAAATGCTACGTGTGCCACACTGGGAGTGATTATGATGACTTATCCCCAGCGTCTTCTACGCGTGTATAAACCGTAAGAAAAAGATACTCTAAATGACGTAATGATCTGCGGTCTCACATCTTGTGGAAGTATAAATTAAAGAGTTGATTTAAATATTTTAAAAAATTACCACTTTGGGGCTCCTAAAACACTGTTTCCATGTAGACACGAGGCTAAAACACTAAAAGTTTTTTGCGTATTTATAAAAAGACAGTAGGAATCCACTTGCTTGGACTAAACTTTAGTTTTTCGATTCAATCAGACAAGGGCATTCAAAGAGCCAAGATAAAACTGTTCACAAACCTCCCACTTCAAAAGATCTGAACTACTTCTTTAATATAGTCACTCCACATAAAGGCAGAAAGAGAAAGAGGTTGAAAGCTTTGCTCCGTCCAGTGTAATAAGCGACAGCGGGAAGCCGAGAAACACCTGAGAACAATCATGAAAACGTGACTTCGCTCATTTCACCGCCTTTCAACTGGCATCACATCAACAAACGGGAGTGGATTTGAGACTCAAACCAGCCACGTKTTTTTTTTTTTTTTTTTTTTGGGGAAGAACAAAACACGGCAAATCAAACAGATATGTACAGAAAGCCTGCCACTCGGAGCCTGACCGGGATCAAACGTTTTACAGGTGATTTTACAAAAACAAAAACAAAAACCATCCTTCAGATTCAGACCCTGTGACATTAATGTGACGCAAACCTCTCGCTACAGAACCAGAGCGAAAACCTGCACTTAAAAAAAAAAAAAACTTGTTCTCCCACACAGAAACCCACCACGGCTGCCATGTGAATAAGGTTATCTGTTTTTACACAAAATGAGGTCACAACCATACATTATATGCCCTGAAGAAACAAAACAAAAAAGAACACATAACTTTTAAAGCTTTTCTGATTAAAAATAGAGAATATTCATACTTCTTTTTATAGAATTCTAAATATATAGATTAATTTTTTTCCTGCAGTGAAAAGATTGTTAAAGATTTCAAAGATAAAACACAAAATAACAACAATAAAGATAATAATAATGACAATGAAAGGATAAAATAAAAAAAAAAGATATCTCCTCTGGAGGACATAACATCATTGTCAGTCAGTAGCTGTGTTTGTGGGTGTAAACAATGCTTTAGCCTTCCTAGTTATTACCTTCTTTGTTGTTCTCCAATAATCTGTACATTTATGCAGAAATAAATAATTCACAGGTTGTGCATACGTAGAAGTTTAGCATATACTGGCTCTCAGTTGGGATATTTTCTTTTTAAATCCTTTTGGCGATGAAGAACAAAAAGAGATGAGTTTGTGAGAGAAAACCTGAGATAGTGTACTTCAAGTGAGCTGAGTTTCAGTTTGTCTTTCTGTTCTGATGACGGTTCTTCTCTTCTTTTTTTTTCTTTTGTTTTGGCATTGATGATGTAAAAAATGAGGTTGTTTTTTTTTGGCTTTTTCTTAGCGTGGTAATTATTAAAAAACAAAAACAAAAAACAGTGGATCAGATGGGAGTTTGTTAAGACAATGGGTTGCTGGAGGTTGAGGTAGGTGTGTTCTGGTGCTGCTGCTGCTGCTGGGGAGGAGGAGGAGGAGGAGGGGGAGGAGGAGGAGCGACGCGACTGCTGACCGGCTTGTTGGAGAGGGATGATGCAGACGCTCCGGATGAGGCCAACCCGGCTGCTGCCTGGGCAAAAAGAACGCCTAGACAGACAAAAAATAAATAAAAAAACAACAACAACAATACATCGTTATAAAAGCCTATTTTATTTTGGCAAACAGACTGAAAACAACAGTTTTTAACAACAGATTTTATTTTCTAACATTTTAATTTACTCATAAATTAATAATTTTATGCTAGTTTTGAAGAAAAGCCAGTGATATTTAGGGTTGCAAAAGGGTGGAAAGCTCTATGCAAATTGTGTGAATTTATGGGATTTAAATGGAAATTGGGGAGTAATTTAAACAAACTATAATATCAAAACAAATACATGAATGTTTTTCTCATTGTAGTAAGATAATATCAGAAACAGCAGAATTGAAAAGTAACTAAGTACAAATACTTTGTTACTGTATTTAAGTAGAATTTTTGGGTATCTGTACTTTACTTGAGTAATTATTTTTCAGCCTACTTTTTACTTCTACTTCTTATATTTTCACACAATTATCTGTACTTTCTACTCCTTATATTTTTTTAAAAAGTCAAGAAGTAGAAAGTCATTACTTTTATTTGATTTTTACTTTATTTCATTCCAGCTTGTTACAAAAAATAAAAACTATCCATATACAGTAAATTGTGCCTCCTAGATAGAGGGGATTTAATTATGGT